ATATATATATATATATATATATATATATATATATATATATATAGAATTCTATGCAACCAATACAGTGTAAATTTTGCAGAAAACAGTATTCTTGTCGATCAAGTATAACATCCCCTTAAAAACAATGAAGAAAAACTCTATTCTTTGAACATAGCTAAATCATTCACTGAGTCATTGTCTCTGAATTTTTTAAGAAAATGCGAACTATGGGAAAAACACTTTTTTTCTCGTATTGTTGCGTTAGGAAACACTGAACAATGAGTTGCAGGATGAGTTATGCAGTCCAGATATACAAGGTATATACAAGGTGTTGCACTTACATACAGGTCAGTACGACGGGTTGCCGTCGGTAGGTGTGTTTTCTTTTCTATGAATTTTATTGCGTTTAATTGCGCGCGTGACAATTTTGCCAAGGTCTACTATGCACCCCGAGGCAATCCATCGTACTGACCTGTATGTAAATGTAACACCTGTACACCAGAGTAGTCTAGGGCTAATAGTCTAAGGCTAGTAGTTTATTCGCTTTAAAATGAATACAATTCTAATGATCTTGACCTTGACCTTAACATTGTCAAAAACACTCTTTTAACAAGGGACACTATTTAAGTGTGAAAAATCGTCAATCTTGAAGCCTTGTAATTTTCATGATAATATCCTAATATTTAAGCGACGATTTTTTTCTTTGTACTTTGAAATATGCCCTTTCAAAATCTGGAAACTTTTTTCGATTATTTCTATTATCAAAAAAGATATGCATTTTTAAAACTATTATGATAAAGTGACGTTTCCATAGTATTTATGAGTAATTCTAATGTTTCAACATGTCTTTATTATGTGATGCTTATTATGATTTAATTCTAATTCTTAATAAATATATGTGTTTATCAGTCTATTAACAATCGGGAAAAAAGTCAAAATACGGTGATTTTTATCGGAGTTATAATAAAAAAAGTAGCTGAGGCCCTTCAGATCCCAGTGTAACATCTACGTATGCGAAAAATAAGTGTGTACTCTACTGAAAAATTTTTGTTAAGATGACAATAGAATTCCCAATTCAATTCTCAGTTGAATTTTCAATTGAATTCTCAAATGCGGTTTCCGCAAAATTTCGCATGTAAGATCTCAATTGAGATATTTGTATCTAATAGAAATAATTTATTGAAAATATAATGAACTTTTGCTGAAATGCGTTTGAAAAATATTTACAATTTTGACCCAATTTTCATTAAAATTTCATTATAATTTCATTAATATTTCAGTAATATTTCAGTAAAAATGTAGAAAAATTCAGTAAAAAATCATTATTAATTAAAGTAGATCGAGAAAAGTATAACGAAGTATTATTTTATCTAAATAATAAAAAAACTGGCATTTCATATTTTGTGTCGTTTCATTTATTCGTGAGATTCGCGTGGGATTCGATCCCTTGTCACACGGTCATCATCTTTAGATGACTATGTGCTGTTCTCATACCTAAACGATCGTACGGGAACTGGTGATGGCAATGCACTGTAACGATATCGTGGTGATTGTATTTACAATATATTCTTATAGCGTTTAAAAATGCAATGACATATTTGTCGGTAAATGTTTCAAAGGACGTAACAATCACAATGCGATTAATATTGATACAATGTTGTATAACTAATTAAATTTAAACATACCACGTGATCGCAAAAGAGAGAGAAAGAAGGAATATTTGACTTCCTAAACTAGGTTCCTGCCTTAAATGGGCAGATACTAACTGACAACAGGATGTTTTGAAGATAGATGACAAAGGATGAATAAAAGAAACTCGACATAGGAGAGGGAAATACCAATCGTCATTTAAGGTTAAAACTTAGGAGGGGGGCTCCATGTAGGCAAAATGAATGTAGAGAATCTTCAGCGTTCAGTAAAGCTTTAATAGCTAAGCAGTATGGTTATGAACGCATAATCAGGATTAATTTTTTAAAAATTTACGGAAAAAACGGAAAAAAATTTAATTTGTGCTGAAAGTATCACTACATATGTTTTGACGTAATATTGATTTGTATTTTTGTCGCGAAAAAGAAATTAATCACGATTTAATTTGTGTTTATAAGAAACGTCGGAACAATTATGCGAGATAATAGAAGCCAATATGTGCAGTCGGATAATACGCCATTCAGTTATAATTTGTATCCTGTAGCGCATGTGACTCCTGTGCAAAGATCTTCGGAGAACGAAGTGCAACACGCCAAAGAAATCAATGTATCTCTATTGCCTATTGGAAACATACCATCGTTACCGTCGGAATTGTCGCCAGACCCTATATCTCAAAATCAGACACAATCTTGTGACAATGACTTCTACTGTATGAATAATGATAATACTAATACTAATACTAATACTAACTTATGGTACGATACTTATGATAGTTTTACATCAACGGCCAACTGTGACAGCATTACCAAACCAGCATTAAATGTGTTCGAATTAAATTGCCGGCTGAGAAACTTGGCGGAAAATTTCGATTTGCCGAATTATTATCAGTCAGCACATCTTTACTCGTTTCATCAACAGCATCCCGACCAGACTAGTTATCAACAACCGCTTAATACGAATTTGGAACAGACGTACAATAATTCTCATCATCATTCTTCGGAAGAACTGAAATATAAGAAAGAGCAGGTGGCCGATCAGAGCGGTGTCTATCAACAGGCGAAGCTTGATGGATATGCGACGAAGCTGTGTTCAAACAATAATTACACAGCGGAAAATGTTAATTCGCCTTCAGAAAGTGATAAAAAATTGACCACCATTGATAGCAATAAATCTAAGAGCAAAAGGGCTTACCGGAAAAGAACTAGAAAATACCAGGAAAATAAGATGAAAGAAAAGGAGAGTGAAGATCAGCGAGAGGTAACGAATGCTAAAGAACGTCAAAGAACACAGAGTCTCAATGAAGCATACGACAACTTGAGGAAGGTCATACCCATAATAAACAATAAATTTAGCAAAATGGATACGTTGAAAACAGCTAGAAAGTACATTGAATTTCTGAAGGCAATATTACACTTGGATAAGGATGACGACCCTCAGAATCTAGGTAATTATATTATCTAAGTTATTATATATAACTAAGTTATTATATATAATTTTGAATTAGAAGACAATAAACTCCCGATGAAAAATTTTTCATGCAAAATTTTGTATGAAATTTGTTTATACATAATTATGTATAATTATATATAATCATATAAAATTATATATAATTATATATAATTATATATATAAGTAGAATGTATAAACATGAATGGACAAATTTGATACATAATAATATATAATTATATATAATTATATATAATTTTATATAATTTTATACGATTATATATGAAAAATTTTTCATTGGGCTTTATAAATATAGATTTCGAACGCTTATCATCACTAGTCATCGCTATCTCATTGCTGAGAATCGTGATCGTAAACTAATTTTCTTCAATCTTTCCGATCTTGTGCTTTCAAAATAGAGTCATGAAACGTATTTTCGGTTATTTTTTATATGTCAATCGTCTATCGTGTAGGTAAACTTAAGGATAGGAAAAAGCTAATCTGAGTTCAAGCACGGACGTAGTAGTGTTATATTACCTAAATTGGTGAAACCTTCCTTTGTTAGGAAATAAAGTATTTTATTAAAAAATAAAATCTATAAAATATCATCAAACGTTTCGGTTCAGCCGTGAAACCTCTTCAGTGATAAAAAAACATACAAAGAAAAAGTCTCGATGCTAATACAGAACGCAAATTACAACTAATAATATCGAACTTGGATGCTCACGAAGAACATAAATAGTTTTTTAATATTACAGTCGACAAAAACGCTCACAATCAGTTCTTAATTCCTTGTTCATACGTGTATAGTATGCTGCGGTTTTTGTCTAACAAAAAGTAAAAAGAAAAGAGTCTGTAGAAACTAAAGGATACAGTAAGAAAATTAAATAGAAAATTTATAAATTACCTTAAAATCAGATTATAGTTTAAACCAGTTTATATGGAACACAATTGTCGACGATAATATTATCAAGTGTAGGAATGTAAATTACAATCATTTTATATACACAAGCAAACGAAGTAAGAAGAGGCGACTACGGAAGAGAAGAGAAAACGAACATCAGCCTATCAAAACAAATCGCAATAGCTATTGCCAAGATATTCTGTGTCTTTTTGCGAATTTAATTCTTTGTTTTGAAGACCGATGTAAATCATCTCGACTACTAATCGTTTGATGTAAAAACGTTCTTTATGCAAGACTTTGATGTGTTCCCAATCAAATTCATGATTTAAATTAAAACAGTGTTCTTGGACGGCCGTCAATTCCACCGTTGCACTTCTTGGAACTTTCATATATTCAGAAACCCGCGTAGAAAGTTTTCTACTAGTCTGTCCGACATAAGATGTCTCACAATTACTGCATTGCAACTTATAAACGATGTTGTTATAGAGTCCAAACGGAAGCCTGTTTTTATGTTCTCGAATCATATCCGTTAATTTATTTGCGCAGGAATAAGAAATCCTTGTCGAATCATTTTTAAAAATCTTTGTCAGTCTTCCCGAAATCCAGCCAAAAAATGGTATTGTAAAAAATTTATTTTTATTTTGGACAGAGGTTGTTAAGACTGTTCTTTTATTTTCCAAGTCATCCCTGCTGCTCTTAATAAGAAAAGTCAATCTGCGTTTTAATGTTCTAAAAATCAAGTCAATTGGATAGTTATTGTTTATTAGAGTCAATATAATAAAATCTAAATTTTTCTTATGAAAAGAAGGATGACTTAGAAAAAACATCCTATCCACGAGGCCAATAATTGTCTCTATCTTATGTTGAGTGGGGTGAAAGGACATAAAATTTAAGTATCGATCCGAATAAGTAGGTTTGTGATACCAGTCAAAAATAATTGTGTTGTTACAAATTAAAATATTGGTGTCTAAAAAGTTAATAGCCCCTTTTACAATTTTGCAGTTTTTTTACATAAATTCTTATATCATAAAATTCCGCCAGCGAAAAGCAGGATCGATAATAATTTTGACCTATTAAGTTAAGAATCTTTCTTATAGACATTTTGAAGAACATCATACACTTTTATCTTTAACTATCTCTTTATTTATTAACATCCCGCTCGATCTGACTATTTCTTCAGTTGACAAACGTTGGCACTACATTTGTGATTCCACTAAAATTCCTCGTAGAGAATTTCTGCTAGCTTTGAAATTCGTACTAAACTCTACATATTTCACTTTTAATAATAAATTTTATAAACAGACTTTTGGTAGCCCTATGGGTTCTCCTTTGTCCTCTATCATTGCTGATTTGGTTTTACAAGACTTAGAGGAAAGGGCTATTAGTATGATTCCTGTGACGTTGCCTTTTTATTTTAGATATGTTGATGACATCCTTTTAGCGGCTCCTCAGAAGCGCTAACGCATGTTTATTAACGACATTCTGCGTATTTTCAATTCTTTTCACACGCGTATGCAATTTACGATTGAGATTGGACATAACAGTATTAACTTTTTAGACACCACTATTTTAATTTGTAACAACATAATTATTTTTGATTGGTATCACAAACCTATTTATTTGGGTCGATACTTAAATTTTATGTCCTTTCACCCCACTCAACATAAGATAGAGACAATTATTGGTCTCGTGAATAGGATGTTTTTTCTAAGTCATCCTTCTTTTCATAAGAAAAATTTAGATTTTATTATATTGATTCTAATAAACAATAACTATCCAATTGACTTGATTTAGAACATTCAAACGCAGATTGACTTTTCTTATTAAGAGCAGCAGGGATGACTTGGAAAATAAAAGAACAGTCTTAACAACCTCTGTCCAAAATAAAAATAAATTTTTTACAATACTATTTTTTGGCTGGATTTCGGGAAGACTGACAAAGATTTTTAAAAATGATTCGACAAGGATTTCTTATTCCTGCGCAAATAAATTAACGGATATGATTCGAGAACATAAAGACAGGCTTCCGCTTGGACTCCATAACAACATCGTCTATAAGTTGCAATGCAGTGAGGCATCTTATGTCGGACAGACTAGTAGAAAACTTTCTACGCGGGTTTCTGAATATATGAAAGTTCCAAGAAGTGCAACGGTGGAATTGACGGCCGTCCAAAAACATCGTTTTAATTTAAATCATGAATTTGATTGGGAATATATCAAAGTCTTGCACAAAGAACGTTTTTACATCAAACGATTAGTAGCCGAGATGATTTATATCGGTCTTCAAAACAATGGATTAAATTCGCAAAAAGATACAGAATATCTTGGCAATAGCTATTGCGGTTTATTTTGATAGGCTGATGTTCGTTTTCCTTCTCTTCCGTAGTCGCCTCTTCTTACTTCGTTTGCTTGTGTATATAAAATGATTGTGATTTACATTCCTACACTTGGTAATATTATCGTCGACAATTGTGTTCCATACAAACTGGTTTAAACTATAATTTGATTTTAAGATAATTTATAAATTTTCTATTTAATTTTTTTACTGTATCCTTTAGTTTCTACAGACTTTTTTCTTTTTACTTTTTGTTAGACAAAAACCGCAGCATACTATACACGTATGAACAAGGAATTAAGAACTGATTGTGAGCGTTTTTGTCGACTGTAATATTAAAAAACTATTTATGTTCTTCGTGAGCATCCAAGTTCGATATTATTAGTTGTAATTTGCGTTCTGTATTAGCATCGAGACTTTTTCTTTGTATGTTTTTTTATCACTGAAGAGCTTTCACGGCTGAACCGAAACGTTTGATGATATTTTATAGATTTTATTTTTTTAATAAAATACTTTATTTCCTAACAAAGGAAGGTTTCACCAATTTAGGTAATATAACACTACTACGTCCGTGCTTGAACTCAGATTAGCTTTTTCCTATCCTTAAATTTATATTCTTTTGTGAGTTCGTTTTTTTCTAAATACCTATGTAGGTAAATGTCTTTTGTCTCTGCGTTCACTACATTGCCAGAGATTATCACCCACATAGCACGAATGATGACTTCTGCACACAGGACGCGGCAAGCATTATCGCGTCCTATGTGCAAGAGCCATGACTGCCGACTAATAGTCGACTTTTTTTAGTCAACATTAAGTCGACTTTTTAAAGTCGACGTTTAGCCGTCTTTTTCTAACATAGCTTTTTGTCGACTTTAACTATCGTCTATAAGTTGACTTAAACGATCTACAATGAGAACTTAAGCCATAAAACTTAAGCTTTAAGCCTGAAGCAATAAGAAATCGACTAATTACAGTCGATTATTTTCCTTATATTTAATTATGATTGGTTAATTTCTTACAGCTTCAGGCTTAAGGGCCTTCA